GAGGAGGCACTGTTAGACTCGTGTGCTGCGGGCCCTTCCTCGATATATCGACAAGAAACAAGTTCCGCGATATCATCAAAGTTAGGTTGCAAAAATAACTTACTCATTTCCCGAATAGCCAATACGATATGGCGTTGCAACATGAGCATCACACTTTCTGAATAATGTGTGTCAGCCGGTCCTGTGGAGACGCCAAAACCGGCAACCTGCAGCGCCGAGGGAACAGGGAAGGCACGGAGTTTGCGGTCAAGCTGGAGGACTGTGGCATACGTCGGTGTTTTGGCACCAAAAGCCTGGTCGTGAACAACACTCATGCACTCTGAAGCGAAACGGTGTTTCCAAGCATGGACTGGAAAGTGATGTAATGGTCATCGAAGAGAAGATATCCCCGTGGAGTAAGAGCTTACAGATGTTTTCCTCTGACGCATCTGTGGAGTATGGCAATTTGCAGTCCATATGGGCTGTGTAGAATGATACCGGTCGACCAAAGGTAAGACACTGCGAACATCGTTCTCCCATAAGTAATCAACAGCACCCACGATGCCAAATGGGGGTGTACCTGCCACGAGTCGTATGTGTATAGTTCCCAGAAGAGCTCTCTGCGACGCAGAGTCTCCTTTTGATCCACTCCCCATCGACTGGGATCTCGGTCTAGCAGATGAGAATGTAACGTTAGTACCTCAAACCTCATTGGGGTGCGATAACATTACGTACGCAGGCCAATCTGCCAAGTAACCAGGTGAGCATAATAAACCAGAATCCTTGGCTATGTACGGCTTACACTTTGCGCCACTTTGATAGCTATTCCCATAATAGCCCACCGTGCGCCAGAATTGGAACCATGTCGGTCCGACATAAAAAGGTAGAAAGTCATGAGAAACTGAAATCATATGTGTAAGTAGGATATGATCCGAAAATTCCTCGTGGTATGCTTACAAGAGCTTGGACGGCATTAATAGTCGGATCTTCAAACAGTGAGCTCTGGAATAACGCAGCCCGAGCTAATTGGTGATATTTCTCGGCTTCGACATTGTAGGCTGGTTGGTGTACATCCATGAGGGTACCAATCGCGAGAACCATGAAGAGGAGAGACAATTTGTGCGATAGAAGGGGATCATCGGAGGGCGGGCCGGCATTGGGGGTGTAAAATTGGGGATATATATCTTCGTAGAAGCATAGTTGGCTTATGGGAGTGTACCTTCCGAGGAAAAATCAGAATTATTTTCACTACGATAGAAGAAAGCGGACAGACATCCATGCACCTAGGCGATAGTAGGTCTGACATATCTCTTGAGCTTTGGCGTGCTCCGGAAGGTACCAGCAGAGGGATCTTAGCCGCACGTTCTCAACATGAATGGATGTGTGTGATGAGGGTAGAATTGGGAACGCGCCACTTCGTGCGAGAATATCGGGGGGAAGGACGGTTTGAAGTGCAGCAAGACGATCACCATCAGTCTCGTGATCTTCGTTTGCTTCATTCTGCAGATATTTAGAAATTCACTAGGGGTAAGTTTGACCACTTGGACAGACCTGTAAGAAATACTGGAGCACTCGTAATCAGACGTAGCAATAACCTCGTTGAATGAGTATTCACGTACCCAGGAGTTGGCAATGGAGCCAAAGTATTTTGCACCACCAGAAGCATTGATCGATAAGGAACCAAAAGCGTCAACAACCTCGCCGTTCTGCTCTTCTTCCTTGGCTTCGCATCGAGGCATGTTTCTGTTACTTGGGGGCTCGCGCTGCAAAGGTGATTTGATTTTCAATAAGTCATCAGCTAATAGAGGATGCCTGTCTGCAGCCACTAGAGAGTGAGAATGTCGAAGAGCATCTTCCAATTCCCGGACACGTTGACAGAGTTCTGATATTTTCTCGTGAAGCTCTTGAGTTGATGCCAAAACGAATCTTTATTAGAAGACATGATCAGATAGTACTCGACTTGAAACGTTATGCACCGCTTACCTGTTCCCCTGGCCGGTTGTCAAAGAACCTATGAGATTGATGATCAGCCTGTTGGCTTGAATTGAGCTGAGCTGGAGTCGTACCATCTGGACAGATGGCACCACAGCCACGTTTCACGCATGAGCCACAAGGAATCGCTCTGTCACAACGCAACTTTAGACTGTAAAACGATAAAAGTTGAGTAATGATTATGCATACGTTACAGTGGCTTACCGCCTGCATTCTGCACACGAAAGGCGAGTAGCGCCTTTTCTGCGTTTCTTGGCTGCATCAGCAAAGAGATTTTGCTCCATGCGATTTGGAGAAACTGGGGAGGATAGCATGTGGAGGCCCTAAGGGCTATGTAGACTGATGGCAAGAGAGAAGAAGATAGATGGCCATAATTATCACAGTGTGATGGTTTTCAATTCAGTATGCGAACTATGTCCAACTAAATTCCGCGCTGATTATTACATCAGGTTTGTACTGTAATTGCCAAATGTGGATTAAACGGACTATAGACCCCCTTGCCGACCCCTCGGCACGGATGTATTTGAACGTCGCTGACCTCACAAGGCGAACGCGGAGTGACAGTACGACATTGGTAACCCCCCTCATAGTAATTTTACTTCCAGAATACATTCTTCTATCAAGATTGAAAAAAACACGAGGCGTTCATACATTCTACGCCATTCACAAGTCTTCAATTCATTGCGGGTAAACCTTTTTTTCCGCCGTTCCGTCACTTCCATAACCATCATAATCGGTTCCCATTTGTTCTACGACTCGGAGGGCAGTGAGCACGCGCGCGACATGCAATCCATCTGCTGTAATCATGGCCTGGACCCTTGAATAGCCTTCGAGGTACACAGCATGATTCTACTTACCCCATGTTCCATCTGTTATCTGACACTCATGACGTGTCACCGCTAACATCTCTCGCTTAAAAAGACGGGCCAGACCTTTCTCAAACCTTGCACCCCGGCGAGACGTCCAAAATTCGTCCGTGGAGTAGATCACACACTGGGACATTTGACAGTGGACACCGCTCATAGCGTCCGAAAAGAAGCACGGAAGACGCCAGACAGGCGATGACGAGATGAGAAGGACACCCCCCAGTCGCCGTGGCATCAGTAAATAACATCAATGCAACGTACACATACGAGGGCACTGTGAGTGACAATTCATACCTCCCGTATACGACCGACATCAACTAATTCGAATGGAGTTCACGGAATTTGTTTTTGGCCAGCCTGAGAAGCCATATCAAAAAAGCGCCAACAAATCGTATCTCACAATATCTCCCGATCATGCTCTACATTTGTACTATCAACGATTGCGATTCTCTTCCACCATTTTGGAATGTAATCAACTCATGTCTATTTTGCTCACTAGCTTCTCCTTGTGCCTCAAGGCATTCTCATAACAAGACCTCTACTCAGGCACAACTTAGTGGCGGCCTATGATCCTATCGATGTGAGACTGTGATAATTCCAGGACGGCTTCGTACTACGGAGTCCGTGATAATTGAGAGCGCATGGGAAATTACATGCCTTATCAGCGGTTGGCACGTATATTTCACTCGAATCGTCCAAGCCTATCATTCATCCGCGATGGTCGAATCGAACGCACCCGGTGAGTATTCATCCCATCCGTGTTCAATGGCCGGCGTTCGACAATCCTCACATAATATTGTGTGATAACAGTAAGATCCGCATCCAAGGCTAGTCCATGAGACGTACTGTTTCACTTTTTTCACCGCTTTTGAATTTCCAACCGCAGACATCTCTCCCCATCGCAAGAATTTTTTACGCTTTGGCCTTGTATCTCGAAAGGATCAAGTGCGTTAATCATCGCAAATCATGGTCACGGCCTCTTCAAGACTGAGCTTAGAAAACTATCCTCCGGTCTCTATGGATCACAGTAGATCTGCACACGAAAACTGCGGGATACTCGTTATTCATTTTTGAAAGCCGAAACACTATGTCCGCCTTCGCCCCTCCGGTGTTCACGAGTCTGAGCTTGCTCAGTCTGACAGACACTTCGGACACTGCCACACGCTACTGACAAATCACGCTGAGAAGACGCACTTGTTGAGGGCGCTGAACTGTTGACTGGTGGTGTACCGAGTCACGGTCAGCTGATCACTCCCGCGATCATGCCTTTAGATCGGTGCTGATTACGATTTGCGGACCATGAGTCGTTGAAACTCTGCGATGCATCGAGGAGTATCCACCTGGACTAGCTATATCACATGTAGGAGCTGCCTCGGACAGACTGGAATTCCGTGGATGTTTGAAACAGTCGTCTTTCCCGACTTGTGTCTAGTACGTATGTACTTTCCGATATACATTGTTGACTATCCATCACAGCGACCCTGGACGTCACTTCCATTGCTGCTACTACTAGTAGTGGCGTCAGCAGAACCTAGCTTGACATGAGTGAACCCTATTCGCTGGTCGAAGAGGGGCATGCGAGCGAAGCTGGCCACCATTCCGCAGCAGTCGAATTGAGGTCGAAATGTGAACATCCTGCTGACATGTTCGTGGTAGAATACACGCATGGTACACATATCGTTCCTTCGTCCTTCTCAGGTTGCACGCCACCAACGTTCCGTTGGTAACTTTATATATCTAGATCAAACGCGCGCATGGACCATCAGCCTATTCGATATTGCATAAAAAGAATCAACGCCTGGCTTCACTGAACATTTGCCTTCATTGGGCCTAGGATACTTTCAGAGGCTGCGTATACATCTTGCTGACAGGGAACGTTATGCCAGTGTGTCCGCTTCTGACTTCTAGCAGCAAGGCACCAAGTCGCTCAAAAGCCAAGCCTCAGACAACGTGTGAAAAAGGTCAGAAATAGACTCTCGAAGAATTATCCTATCTTTACATCTTCTATCTCTGCGCTGTTCGGAACGATTTCGAAGTGATTTATCCATGTGAGTAGGACACATCCGAGTGATTTATGTAAGCGATAGTCTGTTCTCCCTTCCCGCTCTCGTGCCCATGTACATTACAGAGTTATATGCTATATTTGCGAAAAAGTGTCTGTAAAATCCCCGTCCGAACTGGGTTCGAGGTTAGAAAACGAATTCGAATGTCTAGTAGGGAGGGCTCATGAAGAGCCAGATCAGAAACGCCTATAGTACACTAATCAAATGGCAACAGGAGATAAGGTTCCATCAGCACCTGGGGGAGGTAGCTTTCCCTCGAGATTGCCAAGATCGCGTGATGACTCGGATGTCACGCTAGTAGTATCTCGTACGTATACAGTTGGTCGGGGACGCTCGCTTGCGGGGCTGATGGGCTCGACTACAGAATCCTCGATGGACGACGTATCAGACATGCCATTGTACACTGGCTCTTGTTCAACGCGTTGTGACGTTTTAGAAGCAGTAACTGCCGGGGCACGAGTACCGAAGAAGTCGCCCAGTTTTTTGGAGAGAGGAACAGGGGGCGTCAGCGATGATAAGGATGGTGATACAGTGTGGATGGCGGGTGCGACAGGGGATGGAGAGGCCAACACAGGATTCTGCGTCAAAGAATCTGCTCGCCAGAGTTTGAATCCCCACCCAGCAGCAGCTGGTGGTGGTGGCGGTGATGGTTTTTTCACCTCTGCGGGCAAAGGGGGAAGACCCTTTGGCACAGCTCCAACCTGATTCTCTTCAATGAATTCCCGTAGAGCTTTGATGCAAGTGTCTGATGCTTCACGAGCTTCATTTGTTTCACTCAGCTCATGCTTCACGTCATCAAGTTCAGCCTTCACAGCATTGAGTTCCCGGCGCAGCATTTCCAACTCGGCAGACTCTTCCGAAGGGAAAAGAGATTGCGGCGGTGACCCACGACCGAGCATGCCAGACATCCTCCTCGTGTGAGAAGGCTGTTGGGACCTGCTTTTCTGCACATCAGGAAGGGTGAAAGTCGCGGGAGTTGGAGTGGGAATAGGGGATGCTAAATGAGAGCTGTCGAGGGGGTTGTCGGAGACCGATGATATTCGTTTATGGGTATTGTTACGCCCAGTCGTGGATCCAATTAATGATGCACGCTTAGAGGACGGTGGGCCATTGAAGGAAGGAATACCCGCTCTAGACAAGTCAAGAGCTGAGGGTACTTGACTCGCCCGTCGATTTTCAGACTGTAGACGCATGAGGCCACGCCTGAGAAGCACTGTGAGTGGCACGTTGTGCAGACAATACGGGTGTGAAACAAACCTGCTTTCCTCGACTTTCGTCCTGAGTATGGATATCGTGTCTTCGTCATCCTTAATCCTTGTACGAGCACCATCCAGTTCCTCCTGCATCTTCGAGCATTTTTCCGTCATATGCTCAAGCATGTCCGCAGTTCCTGCCTCGCAAGTCCGCATTTCAATAACTGTTTTTGAGAGCTCATCTCGCTCTCTTGTAACATCTGCGAGTGACAATCTCAGTTGAGTGACGATTGAAGCAAGGACATGCGAATCCAGAGAATGAGGACGTCCTGTGGCATCTACGGGCGAGTTCGGGTTTGATTCATTGTCGAGTTGGCGCTCGAGTTCTAAGCTGAGATCGATGGAAAAAGGGCGAGGTGGTTCGTCGTGTTCTTGCTCGTGAGTAGCCATGGCTAATGGAACGTACTCGTGGTCAATCGTTAAAAGTGTGAGCTAGGGCTTATGTTGGCATGTGGACCAGTAGCAAGTTAGGCTCGGAATGGTGGCAGCCACGTCGCGTAGTACTGTCAGGGAAGGGGGTCTCACTACGCCTGCCTTTTATGGATAGTGGCTGTGAAAATGACCATGCATTGTCGTCGAGTGTCATGTTTTGCACTGGGGAGTACAGCTTGTCGTTAGCCTGCTAGGGACGCCGTTGCGCAGTCTTGGAGAGTCTTGGATGTACAGCCATTCGCGCGCACGCTTTATCACATCTGTCTACCGTAGGCTTAGCCTTCCTCGGCGTATCCCCGCACTGCTTCGACTCCTGACGTAATAATATCACCGATCATGGTGACCGTGACGAAAATGAAATAGTTTTATTATTGAGCAGGAAACCAACAAGTTAATCAACGTTGGTTGCTTGGTCGAGGATGGCGAAGAATGTGGCAATATCAAAATTTCAAGCGATCAATGACCACAGTACTAATTAATCTCATCACATAAAAGCACATCAAAATAGTGAGATCAATACCGCAAGACCGTTTAGCTAGGATCGAATTCGAAGAGGTTCGAAGTGATACTCCTCAGGAATGTGAATTTGAGACTGATAAGGCGAAAGACAAGAGTAATGATGAGGACGAGGACCTTGACATCATTGGAAGATACCTGGTGGAGGCTGCAATGAAAGTCCATGTGAACAGATGTGAACAGAGTTCCCAATACCATTCTTTCGTGCGGAACTCCATTTGAGATTCAGAAAGAAGTGGAGTGAGTAAGTGCACGGGCGTACCTGTCATACCTGGCCTCGCTCTGGATGATCTTTGATAGGCTATGCAAGTGTCCCAAAAACCATCTCGGTCTAACCGAATCGAATATTTTCTCGGACACCAGTAGCTTGGCATCTGGCAGAAGGTGCCAGTGCGGTGATCGCTTGGGGCGTATGAACAATGAAAATGAACGTTCCAAAGCGAGTCGCTCATCTGGTGCTGCGCCGGGGGGTGTCGCAATAAGTATCATGTACATCGCAATGATCTTATTCAAATGTGATGGAGGCCGATGCCCGGAATGTTCTAATTGTGCGTCCTAGGAAGTCGAAAGTGGGCGTTATTGGTTGGGGGCGTGTGGGTGGAACCAACTGATGTCAGGGTGACATACAAAGCTCCAATAGGCTCCACTAGAACATTTGGGTCGCCTCGGAGTAGGATAAGACTCGAAGGATTCGAGCTGTGTCTATACACCTCAAAGAAAAGTTAGCACATTCCTAGGTAAAAATAAATTGTGAGTAAGCTGGAAGATAGACAGGACGCAAACATTCTTGTCATGAAATAAGAGAAACGCACAATGAAGTCAGAGAACAACGTATAAGATCTCATTCCTGCGAGAGTGAGTCATGCAGGATGAGTGTATTGTAAACCAAAAGAAAATGCACTCACCTACCCCACTTCAGTGCATCCTCCGAGTCTTCACATGTCACGATCTCAGTCAAATGCAAAAGGGCTGTTCGGGTCCCGAGAGGGCGTAGCAAATACCACACATGCGGTCTGACCATGGATAAAAAATACTGGGACTCCACATCGCGAATGATCGTTTCTGATGTATGGCTCCATTTGCGTGACAGATAAACCAGTATGCGACTCATGTAACGAGACTCCAACATGTGCACCAGGTGGGAAGGGCGCGCTTGATTCCAATGTGATATCACTGAGCAGACAAAGTGATTCCTACACAAGATCGCTCAGTGCAGAAAGCCAGCATCTTGGCGACCGTCTCTTCAAGTTCAGCTCTTCTTGTCCTCTGGTCAACAGTAGAAAAGACTCACTATCAACATAGAAAGGCTCTTGGCTTCGGCAGGCGTAGTGACTCTAGACTCGATCAATTAAAAATGAAGGATAAGTATAAACTATCCGCACAGGCACCGCAAAGCACATCGTTAGGGAGTTCAGGCAATTTCAAGTAGTAAGTGTCCGATGGAACGGTATAACACGACATAAGATGGGAAAAGATAAAATCACATTTTTTGCCCCTGTTTGTACAATCATACAACCTTCATGAATAGATCTGCTTAATAACACATTATCCTTCACAGTATTCCATTTCAAAGCAAATACCAGTCTTAACCAAAGAGTCATTCTCCTGCCTCCGGTAGTGTGGACATTGCACCAACGGCGTCCTCAACCGTGGGTAAGAGCATCTACACATATGATGCCATCGCGCTCGCTCCAAGGATAACCCCACCGATGAAGCCATTCTCGCACGCCCGAAGCGAGCCGAGCCCGCGAGGCACCACGTGCTGTGTCCTGCGTTCCTGTGTGCTTTTCTTCTCCAACAATAAGGAAAGCTAAAACAAAAAAATGAGTTAAGTTACTAGCTCCGCAAAAGAACACCTACCGAGACCAAGGAAATGTTCCCGCTCGAGCTAAGATTGATTTGATCAAACGATCATTTGACTGATGCATGAAGTACTCACAGCAAGCAAAAATTCTTCGAGAACGTCTGTTGCCTCGTTCGAATGTAAACCGTGAAGATCAAGCATACATTCGGTTCTCTCTTCTGACGTTAATTTCGAATCACCGCCTGTGGTGGTGCTGGCTACGCCTAGACATACTCCCAAACCTCCTCCACAGGTTCGGCCACGCGCAGTTCGATCTCCGGCATCATCAGACCAGCCAAGATCTCGGCTCTTCACAGCTTGTTCGGCAACTTTTGCACGTTCCCTGACAAGTTTACTAGCTGCTGTCGTCATCTCATGGCCCATTTTAGCATTGAGATCGTGACCCTCCCTGCTAAATCGTTTGGCTGCGGCACCATCGCCGCGTCTCCATGCATCAGGCAGCCCGAGATAAGCACGCATTCCGAGCAGCACCCAGTTGCAGTGCTCGAGATCGATAAGACATATATAAAGCATTGATTGATTCCCCAGTGGGTAGCGTGGGCAATAGCGCCGGGGGACGTAACTTGATGCGAGGCGATGGCTTTGGCGCCACAATCGAGGTGCGGATGTGCAAGTTATCCACAGATGCATTCGATGAGATTGACGAGCGAGTGGCCGTTGTGCGGTCCACCTGCACTGGAGTAGGAGCTGGTCTCTTTACGGCTGCTGCGAATCTCGTGCGACCGGGATCGTGTTGCCAATGGCCATCACGGGCGCCGTAACCTCTCCGATTACGAGAAGTATCAGGTCCTAAAGCTGGAAACTCATCAGGTGGAGGGCTTGTAGTGCGGGTACTAGAGTTGCTGAGACTAGTCCGTGACAATGCACCAGTCACACTGGCTACATCAACGTCTTTGGGAAGGTGATGCAAAAATTCACATTGATCCTGTTTGGCACAGGTCCCACGCAACCAGAACCGGCAGAGCGCTCTCTCTAGATCGTGACTGCGAATGAAAATGAGGTGGACATAACCCAAAAGAACAAGAACCAACAAACCTGAAGCGGCAATCGGCTCGCAAGCATTCGCCCGCAAGGTAATAGCGGCAAACCCTATTTCCGCCGGAAACGGGTCGTCCGTTGCCTCTGGTAGAACCTCGGGCGGCTTGGAAGTCTCCGCGTCCCCCATGTACTACCCCTGCGCTACTATCCCTAGCCACTAATGTCACTCGTCCTCCCATGGACCGCATACGAGGTTGGCTGTGCTGAGGTGGAGAAGGGCAGAGCGCGATCAACAAGCCATGCCATAGCACGGTCAAAATCATAGCCGTTCTGAGAAAGTGCATCTTCAAGCTCGGATGGCGCAAGGGTGGATCCGAACACCGAGCTAAGGACATCAAGAGGTGTCATTCCATCTGTCAAGTACCCTGTCCCCTCTGCGTCATCGACTGTTCCATCGAACTGTGGGTCATAATCATAGGCATGCTGGTAGTAACTTTGTGTAAGTGGATCATCGGGTGAGATTGAGGCACTATCCATCCACTGGTCAAAGTCAGTGATTGTAATTGGATGGAAGGAGTTGGATGCTGTGTTGGGTGCGAAGGGATCGAATGGGTCGTCCTCTTCGTCGTCCTCCCCTGGCCTAAGAGACGAGCGGAGGGAGCTTGGAGTTACAGCCCGGGGCTGTAAAGTATCGCCCGGTACCAACGGCGCGGCGATGGCAAGGTTAGAAGTTGCTCTGAGCTGACTATGGGACCACGGGTCAGGAGATGGTGTCTCGGTTCTATATCCAGAAAGGGTTCCGGAGGCGGAAGAAGCTGCAGCTGCAGATAGGGGCCGGGGAATGGGCTTGAACTCGGTTGCTTTTGCACTCAAAAGTCGAGGAGAGGATATTGGCGATGATGGAAGGCTCGAAGTGAACTGAGGATGTACTTGTGCCTGTGCATGCGCGAGTGTTGGTGAGTTCATTGGTGAAACACTACGTGCAGTCATGTATGAGGTTGCGTTTCCAGTTACAAGAGGGGAACCAGCAGGTGTATGTGGCCTACGAAAACCGATAGCAAGAGGAGAGTTGGGTACTGAGGTGGGGGTATCTGGTCTGTTGGGGATGAACCGAGCAGCAGAGTGGGTGGAAGCGCGAGAAGAGGGTCGAGATGGCCGTCTTGTTGGAGTCAAGAAAAGGAAAGGCACGCCTGCTACATCGTCATGGTGTCTATGCATCAAATCTAAGACATGTTGTTCGAGCTGAAAGACGCAAGATCAGAAAAAAGGGGCAAGGTCAGGCATTTCGCAAGCTAACCATGTCGTCTTCTACTCCACAAGTAGTCTTCAATGATTCTTTAAGTTCATCCTCTTGCTCATTAGCAAGAAATCCTGCTACTTTGGTCACAAAAGAGGTGCTGATGCGGATTGATTCCTCTACGTCTCCATCTCCATCAATGCCGTCTGCACCGCCCTTCTGCTGACGGATTATAGCTAATAATTGGGCACGGGTGTGGGGAAATCGTTGACTGGTTAATACTGAACCAGGTTCAGATACATCGTCAGGCTCAAAGATAACAGCGGGAGGTAGAGTTAGCGTCTGCGGCATCGCTAGAGGGCGTCAAAAGTGAATGATTAGGGACACAAAGCAAGAAAAGTCCGAAAGCGAAGGGTGAGATGGAGCTAATCTCTGCGTCCGGGGACGCTGCTAGCTAGTAAGTCAACAATTGCGATAGGGTCCATATAAGAGCAATATTATGAAACAACGAACAAGAAAACAAATAACGAGATTCCCATCACGCTTAAACATCATGATCATTGATTCAATTATTGTCCTCAACGACCCGGCGACAAGCAGGATCAATCAATGCATATGTTGCAAGACCACGGATATACAATATTTGTTAAATTTAGTCGTCCCACTGAACGAGAACAAGCTCTTCTCTCCAACATTCCTTGTCACCACTGTAGTCATCAAGGCAACAGTCCTTCTCACACGAAAAAATCATGCAAGTGCCCCACTCCATACCTCGCTTATCAGACGAAACTTTTTTCTGCAGCACTTCCTGTACCACCTTCATCCTTTGTTCGTCTGTCAACTTCTGCGTGTCTTCATCCTTGATTGAGGCCCGGAGGACGTTGATCAGGTTGGGCATCAATTGACATTCGAAGACGCGCGCCGCTTTGCACGCTGGGCACGGGGGTATTGATGTGGTGCTGTATGAACGTCTAACGTTAGGGACGACCTTGAAAGCAGCCTTCGTCACTGGAAGAGGATCCTGAGGAGGGAAAGGGAATAATCTGTCGAACACTTTGTCCGAGGAAAAAGGCAGGGGGATCCCTTTCAGTTCATATCTACACTCAAAATATCAGATGATCGGATAGCAAAACTGAGTGTAGGCTAACCTGAGACATTGCTCTCCTGTGTGGCTCACTCGCTTCGTGAACCGATCGAATACACCGTCCACTTCCAAGGAATTCTCGTATGGTTCGAATGCCCAGCTTACATCTTTTCCGTCCTTAGGATACTCATCTGTAGGATCCTCTATGTGGGCACTCTGAGAAATTTTGGTTTTGGCCGGGGGAGGCAAATACTCCGAGGTCGTTGAGAGGTACAGAGGAGGAAATGATGGAGCGGCTTGCCATGGTGAATCATCAATCGTTGTTGATGCCATCGCAATAATTAATGAATGTGCAGAAGACTCGGACGTGACGCTTTCCGTATCACACGTGTCCTCTGGCTCGTCTTCAATTGCGGGGGCGGCGACTGTGGGAGCTGGCTGTCCAAATACGTGATCACCCAATCCAAAGGGACCAGGAGTAGATTTTGCCTGCATCTAGCTGTCGAATAAGTGACTGTACACATATCACACAAGTTTGACTCAACTGCGAACGGATTGGTTGCAGGTGCAGTCTTTACAGATGAAGAAGCCTTCTGCTGTGCTTGCTTCTTCGCCAACTTTTTTGCAAGCTTTGCTGCATACTCTGCGTTGTATCTCAGAGCACGCCAAGCACGAACGCTATTTCAGAGTTCACAGATAATGATAATCCATTTTTTCATGGAGTGGTACAGACCTACCTCCCGTCCTTTCGCTGACATGCACTCCGGGAACATCCCCAGATGTACAATGCTCTATCCATAGGACTGTCTTCGACTGGGCACCAGACTTGTACAAGCAATTCCATGGGGTACGAACAGATCTTGCATTGAGATGAGGAAAATGGCGGTTCCCTCGAAGGCAGTATTGCCTTGAAAAAAATCAAGTAAACTGCATTGACAAGCTGATCGTACATGATCGAAGAGACATGCTCGTACAGGATGCCCGCCAATACGAGAAACCGCAGCATCTTTGATATCAGTCTCTGTCTCCATTATGCCATCAGAGACGCCTAGCAAAACTGCCGTCTCTACTTCTGCACCGATCTCATCATCAGAATCAGACCAATCATCATCGACAATAGAGGGCATTGTGATAGTAGGATCTGGAATAAGTTTTCGTCAGCGAGGTGCATCTACAAGAAGTCGACAAGAAAAACGAAAAATGTCAGATATGCATGAATGGTAAATTTTGAAAGACTCGTCATGGATGCTGTCGTGAGGAAACCGCACGCTAGCAGGATTCAGACTCGTCATCTAAAGGGCTCATCTCAGGGAAATATAACTTTGAACTTGGACTCACCGTAATCGACGTTGAACTTGAGTGCAAAAACAGATAAAATCTTCCAATATATGGTATGGAAGACCAAACATGGACAAACTAAGTGAATGTCGTGGGAAAGTCCTTCTTGATTTGCGAATTCTGTTATGTAGCATTATGCAAGAACAAACTAAGTAACTAAAGAGTTTCGTTGAACCGTTTGATACTTATTAAAATATTCACGCTCTTTTACGCTGGCCTTGGGATGTCACCCCCAGATGCCCGAACACGTCGAAAAATCAGCTTGAAACCGGCCAGAGTGCTGACTGGATCGTAAGTTGATTAGTACGCGTGTCGATATCTCACTCCTGAAAGTCATTCCAGAATCAGCAATAGACTCATACCAATCATACTACCCTCCAATGTCATCTTCGTGCTGTCGCTCTATGCAGCAAAAGAGCTACTTCTCTCATATGATGTGGGGGTGTTCTGGGTGCTTATGAGGGTGTTGGCTTGTGGCGGTTTGGGTATGCTAACATGGGAAGCTTTTACGGGGAAGCTTATGAAGAATGGCAATATAGAGGTACGTATATAAGAATCTAGCACTTTCTGTCTTGACCCTTGATCACGCTCAGTGGACAGCAATTGGCGTGTCGTCGTTGCTACTCTTCGTGCAGCAGGCAGCCCTCTTTACAGCATTGTATCGTCTTCCCTCTCCAAGGTAGGCTGTTTCTTGACAATGAATCATGGGATTATCGGGACTCATTTATATATAGGGTATTGTTGTTCAGTCATTTCTCCGCAATGTGGGTGGACTCCTTTATAGCCCCCGCTTCGGTCAGTCTGCTCTACACAATCAAAACGTTTTATTCATGAGGCCTTTCAGATGTGGAAGCCCAGCCTGACCTTCTCGTCGTTTTTGATTTCATTTGCTTCTGATATGCTTTTGTCTAAACGCAGCGTCTCCATTATTGCTCCTGGTTATGGAGCTTTAGTTATGCATGGAATATCCACTTATGCTCTTGAGCATCTTCGTGGTGTCCTAGCTCCAACTGTGAACCCCACATTGACAACTGCTGTCAGTACACTCGGTGCGGCGCTTGTTGGACTCCCGTTGTACGCCTTCAGAAAAGCCCTCGTATGTAGTTCACATTCAGGTCTTCTGTTATAACCTCACTCTATCACTTTAGCTTGACTTTCCGCCGACACCCATCGTCCCTTTAACCTCCTTGGCAGTCCTTCCAATTCTGGCATATACCATGATATTTTTAACGCCGGACACAGTTGGCATGCAATTTAACGCTACCCAGACCTCTCAAATGTTCTTGGTCTCCTACCCGATCGCCTTCCTTGTTGCGACTGCCATGGGCTTCCTTGGGTTTTCACAGCACCCACATTCGACCGATTTACTAGTGGGGGTGATGCTTTATTATTGTTAGCATTCATTCCGCATGCTGGTGGTATCTAGTTCTTACCTCCTTTTATATAGCGATATATCCTGACAATGATCCTACACTATCTGGCCCATCGCGTACTCCAATGTCGAAAGTTATACGGTTCTATTTGAACTCGATACTTTCGGACCCTGAGTCGAGAAAGATATTTTATTTCCTCGTGTTGAATCTGGCCTTCATGCTAGTCCAGATGCTATATGGTATTTGGACAAATAGTTTAGGTCTCATCTCTGATGGTGAGTCGAAAAATGACAGGGTTTTTACGTGCTGATGACTCCCTTTCAAGCTATCCATATGGCCTTTGATTGCATGGCTATTGGTGTCGGTTTACTAGCCTCAATTATGGCAAAGTGGCCTCCAGATGAAAGATTCACGTACGGGTAAGTGCATACCTTATATCAAGCTGCCGCACAGTGATTCAGTCCTTCTCCAGATACGGCCGAATCGAAACTTTGTCAGGATTTGCTAATGGAATATTCCTCATCCTAATATCTGTTTTCATCGTCTTTGAAGCTATACAACGAATGTACGTTCCTGATTGGTCGCGAGTATGATCTAGTAAATGTCAACTCTCTATAGATTGGACCCTCCGGAAATGACGACGAACCAGTTGTTATTAATCAGCTCCCTCGGACTTGGTGTTAATTTGTTTGGCATGTATGCCATGGGTGTTCATCACCATCACGTTCGTTGATATATTTCCACTGGTTTGTCTCGTTTTAACCTCAATGCTACAGGGTCACTCTCATAGTCATGGACATGCACATCAGCATCAATCACATAATGGGCATACTCATGGTGACCATGCCCACGAAAATGACAGTCACTCGGTCGCTGCCCATTTGCATGGCCCCGCGATTTCCAAGCTCAGTGAACATCTGCAGTCCCACGAAGACTCTCATGCAAACAACCACTCCTCACATCGGCACTCTTCAAATCACACATCTCCCTGCTCGGACCATGACTCTCATTCTCATTCAGACTCGCATTCACACTCTGATCATGCACACACGCACCCTCCCCCTTCCCCTTTGTCTATGGATCACGAGGGCTCTTCAATGCATGGCCGCAAGCCTCACTCTCGAGGTCCTTCCCTCCATATACCCACTGATGGCGCCCAAGTCGCATCTGCCATTCCATTTCCCCTGTCTTCCCCCATTGGCGCAGACTCGCCAATTTCACCCAGCTACCCTAGCACTTTAAAGCATGACCATCATCATCACTACCACCACGGGATGGAGTTTTCGGAACACAGCCCGCGCAATCATGATCATGATCATGATCACTGCCACGAACATGAACACGGGCACCACCACGAAGGACACAGTGACAACATGCGTGGCGTTTTCTTGCACGTTATGGCGGTGAGCACATGTCGGGCATTTTTACGCTGGTATTGATAGATATTCACAGGACACGCTCGGTTCTGTCGGTGTCATTATCTCGACCCTCCTCATCCAGTTCTATGGATGGACCATATTCGATCCCATAGCATCGTTGTTCATTGCGGTCATGATTGCAGCAAGTGTCATACCGCTGGTAATCGACACAGGCAGGGTCCTAAGCCTTGATATGGGGACCCGCGAGAAAGAAGTTCAACAAGCTCTCTCTGAGGTATTACATATTTCTCTTAATGTAATTACCCTGACCACCCGTTTCGCGTGATAGCTTGCCTTCGTGGATGGCGTCGCCTCTTACTCATCCCCTCAGTTCTGGCCTAAAGACTCGGCAAGCGTCATCGGTTCGATCCACATTCAGCTCGCGCTTTCATCACACAGACATCCTGACACTGATGGTGTGCGCGAACGCGTGCACACCCTTCTGCGGAGCAGAATTTCGGGGCTTGAAGAGTTGACCATACAGTTGGAAGAGGAGGGAGACTCGTTGGAGAGTAGATAACGCAGACCGAGCCCACGCCATCGCATATATTTGTATACAATTAATCGTACGCCATGCATCCATTCCCATAACTGTGTGTGACCAGATATTCTGAACAACTTTTCCGCTTTGCAGGTCTTGCTGGTAGAAGACTGACCACGTGAGTTATAGATCTATCGTGATGTCCGCATCGAAGCACGCATTCTCTGAGGAGCATGTCATATTTTATCCTCTGCCAGAGCCAGTGGTTCGATCTCGGAGACGAACTTGAACAGCATGGTGAGGCACATTCTAATATATATAAGCACGGAACGTCTGATCCCGCGGAAGCAATTCGCGTCTACCCCACGTGCGCGCTCCAGCTGAGTGCCACCCGCTTTCCAATTGTTCGATCTCTGTGTCTCCTATGGTCTCCTTTTGAATCCCAGCCGCACTGATCTCTCTCCTAACAGATCTTGCTGTCTCTGTTCCACTTTTGGTGGGACATGCGCACCACCTGCCAAAGATAATTCATCAACACACATGATCACCACCATGGCAGATGAACACATGTCCTTAGAACTCTGCTGTGGACAACTATACACCGCACTGTCAAGAGTGCGATGCCGCCATGGCATTCGGGCGCTATTTTCAACAGAGACTGAGGTGGAAAGGATGACGGTGAGCGTAGTTGTAGTACAAGCATCTATTACTGTAATTGATGATAGGAAATGTCCAAAGGTGATCGGAGTGCTTGTATAATAATAAGCCTAGACATGCTGAATGACAGACTTCCTGATAGGTACAAGCTTCAAGGCATGAATTAACTAGTTCAAGCGAGACGTCAGTCGATAGGTCATCTTCATATGTACGAGGCTGATGCACTGATGACCGATGATGTCGCATGAGTCTGGTCAAGAAAACCAACGCTAGGGAGGTGTTCTATTGTGACATTGCAGTCATCTACTCTTCGTTCTTGAATTGAGGCATGTAGCATGTCTTGCATATGATGCGCCTCGTATACTGGGTGCTTGTCCCATATGTGAATCTGTGAATCTGCCCCATCTTCCAAAAATGGGGGGCTTCTCTAAGTCCATGATTTCATGAAGGAATTTGACGAAGGCATGAAGGAATTTGACGAAGGCAGCGACACAAATGTGATGTTCAGACATGTCACATGGTGATGTCCTGGATTACAGTTCGACCTGAGAAATAGGACATGAGATTCATGTAACCTACCGAACAGATTAAGGTCCCTCGTGCTGATCATCACACAAGTGGGAAGGGACAGACTGACATCAAGGACAAAGTCGTGTATGAGTTGAGTGAACCAGGCTGCATCGTGATATTGCAGTCATTTTGCAAAATCGGTTGTGATGCGACGTATCATTGGACATGGATGGATACATGCTGCATGATGCATCGACAAAAATATCAGTAATTAGCTCCAGAAATCAATTAACTTCATGTCCATCTGGTACTGCCATATACTGCACTCAGCCACCTTACCATCATCTCCCTATGCGATATTCCTCCTTCATCCCAGCCTGGGGCTCTGGCGAAGAACCCTTGGAACGATTGAGGATGGACCTTTCAAAAATTTGTCACTCAGAAAGTTCCCATTGTTTATCAAAAGGATCATTATACCTCGTTGATGGCACTTCCAACCACAAAGTGTCCCTTGAAATCATGGAGAATACGATGGGCATAGCCTATACACAAGCACTGGTGAATCTGATCTTTCGTCCAGGGATGAGCGCCTCCCAAGAGAAATTATAATGTGCATCAAAGCGTCTTACCACTGCGGGCACCTGGAAGACACTGTGAACTTGTTGTTTGGCATCTTTGACATCGCCCTATTACCTGTCATTTAGAAGAAGCAATATGCGCTTGGGTGGCTCTTGCCGGTGAGGCGGGTGATGTTACTGTTCTCGACTTGGTCGGACAACCTTTCGAGTTCAATAAAACGGCCCTACAGTCATCCAGCTCATATTAATTACCCCATATCTCGTCCCATCACTGCCCACCTATTCATCTCTGTTTGAAGATGAGATTCACAGAAGAGTCTCTTAGACATGACATACCGTGCCTGCAGATCTGGCATTGAAATTTACGAGCAGCTCAACCAGCTGAGAGCTTCTTGCTTCGTGAACTGTACTGATTATGGAACAGGTTTTGCAGGTGCTGAAACAATAGCTCATATCTGCTACATATATGTACTGGTCAGTCTGGCTAGGGCTCCATGAAAAACTAAGATGTTAGATTTGAGCGCCTGGAAGCGCCAACTGCTCAATTGGATAAAATTCTAGAAGCTTTGGAGACAAGAGTGAGACACATGTATGCACTGAGGTGCTGGGAGGGTATACTGTCAAGGATGGCCGCAGGTATAAGCACTCTTGTCGGACGGGTGATGGAGGCATGGAGGCGAACAGGCGGAACAGCCTCGTGTCCTGGGACCTGGGCATCTATGAAGGCAGTATAAAATGCACAACACATGCACCTCTGCAGTTTAAAGATACCCACAATCCCTCCAAAGTCCACCTCGACCACGCCCAACAACATCAACCTCCAGTAAAATGTCGGAGCTCATTCCCGTCACCACACCCCTGCGAGAGTTCAAAGGCCATGAAGAACGCATAAGGGCAGTCGCAGTGTTCCCCGATAAGCGACGAATGGTTACGGGCTCATGGGACAAAACACTTCGTCTCTGGCACTTGAGGACAGGTGAAGTGTTGAAGAAGATGGAGGGGCATCACTATGAGGTGGCGTGTTTGGCGGTATCATGAGATGGGAAATTGATAGCAAGTGGTGATTTTAACGGAGAGGTCATCGTCTGGCATGGAGAAACTGGCGAATCACTCACCCCACCTATAAAAGCCCACTCCAGTTCTATCAACTCGCTTGACTTTTCTCCTGATGGGAGAGTTCTGGCCACTGGTTCAAGAGACAAAACAACGAAGCTATGGAACACCCAACCCTGGGGGAAACAAGGAGGTCCAATAAAGTGCAATGATTTTGTCTTTTGCTTACAGTATTCACCGTCTGGAGAACTTCTTGCCATCAGAACAACCATCATCAAAATTTATAATGCAAACACGAGGGAATGCATCGCGTTGAAGGTACAACAATTCAGATGGTGAGTCTGAACAATGTTGGGTCTTGCAGAACCTAGCTGCTATTCGACCCTAAAGGGTTTCTGGACTAGGCTTAAGGCTCAGAGGAGAGGAAATATGATAGAAAACTACTGAGCACTCAGACTCATACTGGTAACTGGTGAAAAGATTTCTTGCTTATGTAAGCTACAAAAGTGCCAACATAAGGTAAGGTAAAAACAGTCTCTACAAGCCCAGCCAGAAATAAATCCCTACAGTGTCCTTCAAGGGTCACATAGGAGATAATCTGTCACTCGCATGGACGCCTGATGGCACACGCCTTCTCACAGGTGGCTGCAAGGACGATCCTACCATACGCGAATGGAATGCATCCACCTGGCTGCCAAAGAACTACTCACTCAGATATCAACACTGATGCCCACAATCACACTGCCTACGCCCATCGCTCATTCGTTTTAGCCCTAAAACACGATTGGAAACACGCTCTTCAAGATCCAATCAAGGTGAGTTGAACGCACTGATCATGGTCCTCATACAAAAGGCTAACTGGATGATGACACAGTCCATAAGCATTCAGCCCTTGTTGATAGCATATATCTCCAAGGGTATTGCCTTCTGTGGAACTGGCCACATCGGGGATGCGAGGGCAGCATTTGATGTTGCATCCGTGTACACAGACCAAGATCCAGAAACCATTTATTTCCTGCTCTTAATCAAGGTATGTGGTGGTTGCCTCGCATACTCTCTACTTCATCACATATTTCAGGCCATCTCCCTCTTCGATGCAAATCAACATGATGAAGCAAACCTCCTTCTCAATGAACTCGCTGCCGGTTGTCGGAATACCAATATTCATGCATGTCATATCACGCAAGTAAGTATCATGCAGCCATGCAGGGCCGTCAAATACTAATTTATGCAACTCGCACATCAGGCATATCTATGTGTTCAACTCAGAATCAAAGCCTTGGATGATGGATGTTATGATGAAGCCGCTGAACATTTTACTGTTGCTATCAACTCCGGTGCTCTCTCATCAAAATCAACATTCATTTAATATACGAAGACTTGGTCGTGGTGTGTTAAGAAGATGAATATCTAATGCTTTTCATAACTGAGTGTCTCATCCAGCTCTTTGGCTGGGATCTCAAATCATTGTGGCTCACTGCACACCGGAAATGGTGTGATGCACTCTGTTGGGCAGATAGACTTTAAGATGCTGTGAAATCGTACCAAGCCATGATGGTTTGGAGTGACAAATATAAAGAGGCCGACTTCCTTGGCTGGTCCAATGGTAAGTCTGGAGTTCCTGATGTAGTGCAGGCTACAATCCTAATCAACATTTGACTTAGCTTTCAGGGAAGAATGCAGTGCTCTCTGTCTCACCAATGGAGATGCTGCCCTTGCTGCAAACAATTATGATACGGCTATTGAACTATACTCGGTGGCTATCGGCCTGGATTCTGTGACTGATGTCGTATTTGAAAATCGCAGCAAGGCAAAGTTGGGGAAAATGCTGTGGATGGATGCACTTCTGGATGCACAAAAGGTATGATGGTACCTACTCGGGCCATTTCGTAACTAATAGCTGACTTTGGTGATGCACAGGTCATCCAACTGAACCCTTCGTCTCATATTGGATACAAGTTGGAGCATGCAGCATTTCATGGCGCACAACGCTATGATGAAGCTATTGTGGCCTTCCAAATCATGATATCAAAATTGGATAATGCTCCAGACACTGAGACACAAAGTAAGCCCACACACATCATACTTTAACGTACTTCAATTGTTTCTGCAGAGTTGCGCCAGCAGTATCTCAGTCCATCCAAAGCAGACTGTGTTATTCAAAAAGTCATTGATGCTCAACTTGATAATGCTTCACTGCGTGTACTCGACACCATCCACGGGACTCCTGTGCGAAAGAGAGGCGCAGATATGCACCTTCAAATCGAGCATAGAGTACATGGAGCTCTTACCATCGACAATCACACATCGAGATATCCAGGTGAAGCACATTAAGGAAGTGGTGAAGACGTACTTCCAATATGCCATGCTATCGCACAGATGGGAAGGGAAGGAGCCACTGCTGCAGGATATTCAAAGCAAGGTCGTCTATGAGTTGGATCCTGTTGGTGGCATCAAGAAGTTGCAGTCCTTCTGCAAAACTGCTCGTTATTTGGGATACCGCTGGGCATGGAGCGATACATGCTGCATCAATAAGACCAACAATGTTGAGCTTCAAGAATCAGTCAACTCCATGTTCGTCTGGTATCACCACTCTGTGCTCACCGTCATATACCTCTCGGATGTTCCACCTTCATCAAAGCCTGGCACACTGGCAAGGAGTGCTTGGAACACACAGATGGACAGTTCAAGAATTCCTCACTCCCAATGTCATTATATTTTACCAGAAGGATTGGACTCCTTATCTTGGCAATCGCACTCCTAACCATAAAGATTCTGTCACGATCATGCAGGAGTTGGTGGACACGATGGGCATAGATCGATGAGCTATCATCACCTTCCATCCTGGGATGTGCAATGCCCGAGAGAAACTGCAGTGGGCGTCTAGACGTAATACCATGTTGCAAGAAGATATTGCATACTTATTGTCTGGCATCTTTGGCGTCTGCCTACGTGTTGATTATGGGGAGAAGAAGCAGATCACACTAGGATGGCTCCTGCAGGAGATTGTGGCATGGTCAGGTGACATTACTGCCCTGGACTGGGTCGGAAAGTCATCAGAGTTCAATAACTGTCTACCAGCTGACATCACTTTATACGGAGCTCCACCATGCATACTGCCATCTCTATCTGAAGAGGATAGTCAATCATCGATCTCCTCACTGTGGGGCATTGTACCTCCACAGTCGGCTTTGAAATTATATCAGACACATGACTACCAGAGCATTCCCCATTTTGCGTACCGCCAGTTGCATCTGCCTTGCATCGTATTCCTGGTCACAGAAGCAAGGTGGAGGCCAGAACATGACTGGGATACATATCACATGTATGAATTCAAGTCAGACAGGCTTCGCAATGTGCAGATCACCACAGAAGACAAGTTCATCCTGTTCTCACCGGCAAGGCCACTGCCCGTCTGGCAGATGATCTTGCTTGTTCGCCCATGGAGTCGCCATCTCCTTGAGCTCCATGACCCTGCAGACAATGCGCAGAGTGTGGATAATTGGCTCGTGCCCAAATCTCCATCACATAATCTACTCCCTGAACAAACTGAGCCAATCTATGCAGATTCTCTCTCACAAGCATTCATCAGCAAACTAGAGGGGTCTTGTACACAACTGTACAAGCTTGTAGAGATCCACAGAACCCACAAGGAAGTCCCTCCTTTACAGGCTTGTACAGCCTGTGAAGCTTGTGGATTTCGAAGCACAAATGCTAAAAGAAATGTCACCAAGGTGGGTTACAGTCACATCACATGATCAATTTCACACATTATAATGTGCAACTGGCAGAAATTGAACCCAATACATTAAGCAATTATAAGTGCAGCATTGTTACCACTAGGCCACAAGACCATTCATATATTCTAACAATAATGAAAATATATACCAATGTCACATGACAATGCAAAAATTCCACTCAGTCAGTCTACTCAATTATCACACCACAATACTACCATTCTATTTACTGCTACATAAATTCTAGTACAGTGGCTTGATATAATTGTAATTGAATGATCAACTACTTTATTTAATATATCTACATATTCTATTTCACTGTGAGCCAATATATTTTGTACAATAGAGACTAATATATATCTCATCTGATTTCCAAACACTTTGTTCACTTTATATCACCAATCACTGGGGAAGTGAGAAAATGATCAGACCTGAAAAGGGTAGGAAAAGATGATGTAAATAGTATGTAATCCGACGTAGCAATTAATATAAATTCCAAGGTGTTAGAATCGCGAGAGATCCTCAAATTGGATCATTTACCGACACAGGAAACATAGAGGTTTGTGGAGGTGCACAGAATTAATAAAACCTAACCACACGTCTGATTTGTGTCTGAATACGATCATAATTTAGTCGGATTAGTATCTAGTTACAAAAGTGCAGATCCCTATGATTCTGGGGATTTGCCAGCTTCTGGGTGCTTTGCACTGGCTTTTCCCCATTCCCCTCAGCCCCCTCGTTCACCTAATAATGTATGGGCACAGTGCTGCTGTAGAGACTCGTGTGTCTCATGGTCTGATATGACAGCTTTACACTAGGAAGTACATAGCATGAACTTGTAGTGTCACTCTGTGCGCTACCCGCAGCTATCTCTATATGAGGCGCAGCTTTCCCGCGCAACGTGCGCCATGCGCGCACCATTCCCGCGCTTCACGATGTATGCGCGCGCGCGTTCCCGCGCTTGCGCGCCCTATAGCGCCAGCCATTCAGATGCATCCATCCACTGTCCACCAAGCTCCCTAGTACGTATATTTCCATTTCCTTTATTAGCATAGTTCCACCTTTATTTTTATCATAGTTTCTCACTCATATATATTTTTACATACCTACTCGGTAGCGCTTTGGCTCCGCATGACCGCGCTTAGGCGCGCTATATAAGCGCCAGCAGTACATACTACACTTTACCTGACTTTTACCTCCCAATTACTAGTTATCACTTACTTACTACTTAGCAGAATATAGTAGAAACCTATTCCTTTAGATCTCGCGCTCTCACATCTCTTGCATCATATTATCACTTAAGTCTAGTCTATCTATCATTTCCGCATACGCGCGCGCGCTTTCCCACGCTTCGCGCTAATACGCGCGCGTGTTCCCGCGCCTTGCGCGCACCTGCGCTTTCTCGCGCTTCGCTGAAGCGCGTACCTCTAGATCTTGGCTGCACTCGCTTCCCCTTTAGGGTCGAACGCACTTGCCATCTCAAGTATCGCAGACTAGGCAACGCGCGACCTTACAACTTTTATAGATACAGTCTGGAGCTATCTTTGCTCCTCACAGTATTGTTGTTTCTACAACTGGAGCCCACCACGAGGGGAGCAGTCAGCAAGATCTAGTTTACGCATCTTAACACATACAGGTCAATCTCTTGCATATCAAAAGCTAACCATTTTCTAGTCACGCATTCTCGTGCCTTGCGCGCGCGCAATATTCCCACCCCTGTGCGCCTCGCGCACGCACCTTTCACGCGCTTCAATGCCTTTTAGAATGCCCATCCACGGCACAGCAAACGCGCCCAAGTTTGACAGTACTACAGACAACCTCGCTGAGTTCATTGACACATATGAGCAGCTTGCTGATGAAGCAGGACTCCAAGGACTCGACCGCATCAAAGGTATCATCCGCTACCTTGCGTGCGATGATCGAGAACTATGGGGAGGCATACCAGAAGCGGCAGTAGATAATTACAGCGCCTTTTTAGATGAGGTGAAGGTAATGTATCCTGGATGGGATGGTAAAAGACGCTACGCGCTCGCGGACTTGCGCGCCATCACGCGCGAATACGCTAACAAACCAATGCCCTCTTGCACAGAATTAAGCAATTACCTGCGCGCATTCAGGAAGATTATGCAGCCACTCATGGACGAAGACCGTATTGGAAAGGCCGAACACGACCACTTATTCATGGAAGGAATCCCTAGCGATGCTCAGGCGCAAATCCGCTTGCGCCTTATGATCAAGTTCCCTGACCACCACCCATATGACCCATACCCATTCATGGACGTCTTCGCAGCTGCGCAGTTCCTATTACCTGCGCGCGCTTTTCCCGCGCCAAGCGCACCAGTTAGCGCGCCCATAGTAGCACCAATTGCCACCTTAGTCACAGCAACTGCGCCAGTGCAAGCTAAAGTGGCTAAGTACAAAGATCAATACCACGCGAGTCGCGCAACACAGGATACGACCATTAGCGCTAATGCAACAGCTGGACTCTTCTATCGCGCACCCTCAGAAGCTGTACTTGACAAAAGGCCACCAGTTCCTATTCACGCGCCTCACGCGCGCGCCTTTCCCGCGCCTTCGCGCGAATCACGCGCACCTCAACCATCAACTGCGCCAGCATACAAAGGTATACCAGAATGCATCGCTTTAGATCACGAACTCGAGCGCGCGCTCGCAAAGCGCGCTGCAGGCGCCTCTTCACCTTCATCATCAGCACCATCTCCTTCACAATCTCCATCATTATCCGCATCATCATCACCAATCACAGCATCAGAAGTCAGGGATGACTCTAAACATCTCTTGCACACTAACGCACCAGTTGAAACACGTGCGCCTATCGCTATCGTGTCGCGCGCGCCTATTGCTATCACCTCGCCAGAAGTCAGGGATGACTCTAAATATCTATTGCACAGTAATGCGCCCATTGTGGACGTTATTACACCATCGCTTGAAACGCGCCCGCCTATCGCATCGCTTAAGGAAGAAACCTCGCCAATCGCACCATCGCCATCACTGCTATCGCCACTTGCATCATCAGAGGTCAGGGATGACCCTAAACATCTATTGCACCTTAGCGCGCCTATAGAGGAGCCTCCTGCTGCATCAGAGGCTCAAGTTGCACCTTGCATCAACCAGAGTTTGCCTCTGGTAACTCCAATTGTCACTAACGATTGCGCGCATGTCGCGCTTTTTGCTTCCAGTGACTATCGCGCACCGGTAAAACATCTGTGCATCACGCTGCACAACCACCAAGCAGAGCATGTCTCAGGCGACCCTGGCACAACTCAGGCGCACCATATTGCACCTGAGGACGCGCAATGCGCGCGCCTAGAGGCATTGTATATTTACCCTCATCTCATTTTGCACTTTTTGTCTTTTTCATGTTTAAAGCTCTTAAGGAGCTATATGATGCTTCCATACACTTTAAATTCATCTTCGCACCACCCCTTGTTCACGCGCCATGATCACGCGCATCGCGCAATACGCGCGCGTGTTCCCACGCCTCGCACCTTCATAATTTTAGCAGAGTTTCCTCACCATCGCATTTCTATCATTTCCCCCCTTTTAAATTGCATTTCCTACATTCAACACAAGGTATATTACAATCAGTCATCCAGGCGCGACTTAGGCGCGCGCCTTACACATACATACGCGCCTAACCCCCCTATCATCATCTTTAACTTCGCAATTTCCACATTTATTCGCATTCTTCACGCTTTTGCTTACCATGTCAATTTCGTTCCTGCGCGCCTTGATGCGCACTATTCTCCTTCACCTATGCGCCTACTGCGCCTTGATATATCACCCTTACAGCCCATTGGCGCAACATTTGCGCCTAATTCTTCGCTATACATGTCTCTCGCTAATGCATTTGCAGAGAAATGGCCGTTCCTTGCGTGTTCGGCCAATATAATCAAATTCGCGCGAAATCGCACCAAGGCGCGCACATCGCGTGCATCCTATCAGCTTGTAGGGCGCCCCTACACCCCTTGCAGCGCCTTCCATTGGCGCGCCTTCAACCTGCAGCGCGTTGTGCAGGAATTCATTCTGCCAGTCACAAGCCCACCCAAGCGCGCCAGCCTCACACATTCCAACCCTACCTTGGGTAACGCGTTAGCTCGCAAGAGACGCGAAGTGCGCTATTATGCACACTCGCACGCACTCAAGGAGGAGGATCAAGCGCCTCAGCTGCGCATCAAAGAACAACGTATACCATCGCTGTTTCATAGGATACCATTCATTTTACCCTGGGTTTCGTCCAGCGCTCTTTCATTTTATTTTCTCTCATTATAACACCATCCAAAGAACTAATAACTTACTGATATATATGCACATAGGAGTCGCCAAAAACAAGAAAACAACCTTAGATTGTGCCTGCCTAGCTCAATAGTATTATTTTCTCTTCGCACGCATGACGCGGCACCATGCCCTTTTTACCTTAGAACGCGCACATATGCGCGCAGTCTTCCCACGCTCACGCGCACATATGCGCAAACCTCCCGTGCCCATACGCCTCGCGCGCGCACGCGCACATGCGCACTTCCTGCGCTTCATTTATAAGAAGGTATAGATGTTGACAGCTGTACGAAGAAGACAAGTCAGATAGGACATCTGCAAGTTACTGTTTTTCATTCGCATTTTCACATATAGTTTTACTCACAATGTTCAAACTCTTTAGCATCTAATATTTAGCGCGCCTAGCAGGACTTGGTTTGGACATGGATTGGATTGCTCTTGGACCACGCCACTTCACATCACACCCACGCACGCATACTGGACTCCAGGATCATTGCACAACAGGTCCTCACAGCATACAACACATGCGACACTCACGCGCATTCTCGCGCCTTGTGCGCGCGCACTTTCCCGTGCTTCACGCTGTACATGCGCGTCTCGCTCACGCTTCGCGCACCACATCCATATCGCCAATTGCATCATCACCCCACACCCATGGCACACTATTCACATCAGAGTCACCCTCGCAATCCACCATGCTACGCTTCATTCCCGCGCCTTCACGCATAGCGCGCGCACATTCTCGCGCCTCACGCATACCATGCGTGCAACTTCCTGCGCTTCACGCACATCCACGCGATAATTCCTATGCTCGCGCATTCATCGCCCAACAACCCAAGCATCATACAGGCATCGCACTCGCATACTATCACACAAAATCCTCACCACGTGCGCGCTGAGTGGGGACACTCAGAATTCAAAGTCCCTGGGAGATGTAGAGACTCGTGTGTCTCATGGTCTGATATGACAGCTTTACACTAGGAAGTACATAGCATGAACTTGTAGTGTCACTCTGTGCGCTACCTGCAGCTATCTCTATATGAGGCGCAGCTTTCCCACGCAACGCGCGCCATGCGCGCACCATTCCCGCGCTTCACGATGTATGCGCGCCCTATAGCGCCAGCCATTCAGATGCATCCATCCACTGTCCACCAAGCTCCCTAGTACGTATATTTCCATTTCCTTTATTAGCATAGTTCCACCTTTATTTTTATCATAGTTTCTCACTCATATATATTTTTACATACCTATTTGGTAGCGCTTCGGCTCCGCATGACCGTGCTTAGGCGCGCTATATAAGCGCCAGCAGTACATACTACACTTTACCTGACTTTTACCTCCCAATTACTAGTTATCACTTACTTACTACTTAGCAGAATATAGTAGAAACCTATTCCTTTAGATCTCACGCTCTCACATCTCTTGCATCATATTATCACTTAAGTCTAGTCTATCTATCATTTCCGCATACGCGCGCGCGCTTTCCCATGCTTCGCGCTAATACGCGCGCGTGTTCCCGCGCCTTGCGCGCACCTGCGCTTTCTCGCGCTTCGCTGAAGCGCGTACCTCTAGATCTTGGCTGCACTCGCTTCCCCTTTAGGGTCGAACGCACTTGCCATCTCAAGTATCGCAGACTAGGCAACGCGCGACCTTACAACTTTTATAGATACAGTCTGGAGCTATCTTTGCTCCTCACAGTATTGTTGTTTCTACACCGCCCTAGCGGTGCTCCAGACAATCAGCCAACGAATGACACGAACCCGAATCCATACCAGTTTGGTTCCCCAGGCCATGACCTAAACCTGAGTCCATACCAGTTTCCGCCTCTGCTGACTCCAGGAACCCCGCTATCAAATGCTGGCAGTCATGCGCTGCCACAGGCGGATGAGTTTTTCAGTAGACCGCCTCAGGCTGAAGCTGCCAAGCTGCCGGTGCAGGAATATTGAACACCATCCCATATAATGCGTCCTCCTAGCTCCAAACATATTAGTTAGGATAATTAGCTAGCCATAAAATGCACAGTACTTACTTTATATTTCTGGGCCTCTTGCCAGCGCATAACTTGAAGTCGGTCAGGAGTTTCAGGTTCGGTCGCGCTGAGGTCGACATGTTCAGGAACTTGTAGTAATCTGGGCCGCTTGGTGGGCCGTTGTAGCGAGATTTCGACTGTCTACAAAAGCACTTAGTTAATTAGTTGTATTTAAATCTGGGACTTACCACAGACCCTGGCCACTTGGTTTCAAAAGTAAAACTGAATGTCCGTAGTTTTGAAGGTAGTTCGAGCTTGATCTTGTCTGCATTGTTGGACATGGCGCAAGTTGACAATGGACTTAGAGAAATTTTCGAAAAACATACCTTACTTAAAACCAACCGTATGCAGACAATCAAAAGATTGAATTTCCGAGTCAGTTAGTGACGGAACAGCAAGCATTTGAAGAGAATAAATGGATGTCGGAAAAGACATGGTGGCAAAGTCCGAAAAGGATCTGTTTACATTTGTAACCGCAGACCAAACAAAGGCTTTGTTTCAAAATTTAGGATACATCGGATTTGTGTCGGATTAGCAGTCAGGTCCGTTTTGTGTCTACTCACTTACCCTTTCTCCCTCGGAATATGGTCTGATCAATTTCTCACTTCTGCAGTGAATTATGAAGCAACATCAGGGCTTCAATATAAACCAACATTCATCAAATTTGGCATCAGGAAATCAACCTTAAATTGATATGACCAGATATAATTGGTAATCAACAAACATTATTACATGTCATGTTTTAGCCTTAGATATCATTATCATGGTGTCACATATATATGAACTAAGATATGACTATGCAAGAAATGTCACCTTGATGTATCTTGGGTATCAGGAAATCAGCACAAAATTGTTGTTCCTAGATTTAGTTTGTAAAATGAAATCGAAAATCTACTGAATTATATAAGATTATATACATAGATAAAGCTTGATCATAGACATGACAACTTGGTATTAAATGAACAAGAATTGCAACAAAACTATCATTATGATGTATGTTGAGAGCCGATGAACCCGAGGACAGAAAGACCGAGAAAGGAGGAAATGGGACTACAGCCGAAGAGTAAGGCAGCTCGAGGTGCGAGCACCACCAAACAGAGATTCCAGACAACGTGTCAATGTCGGCTATCTTTTTCATTCATTTAGTATATGTTTTCATCAAAAAGGCCAGCTGGCGCACTCACCATATAAAAGCAGCCATCTGCCATTGAAACATCTCAGATTCATAATCCGAATACTGAGATGTGAGTCTTCTAATGTAACGTTTGAGTACGAGTACTAACGTATAACATAGCTTACCTGTCTAGGTAAAAACATTCGTCAATAAAGAGATTCATAATCCAAATACTGAGATCTTACCTGTCTAGCCTCGCGTGAACGCCCTGCTTTACTCACAATAGGTTATGAGCCCTGCCCCGGCCATGGACACAATGCTCCCCGCTACCAGTTCATCCCTGTTCAATGTACCAAAGTTGGCCGAAGACAGCACAAACTGGATCACTTATAAAGAACGTACCTTGATGGCGATTGGAGCACAAGGATTGATGCGCTATGTGGACGGCCGGGCAGTAAAGCCTATACCATTCCTGATCGATGCGAAAACCAGCGCTGTGACCAAGAAGGATGGTACTGTGCCCACCCAGGCAGAAATCGATGACCTCGACAAAAAGCTAGACGAATATTATCAGCGCAACTCCCTAGTAAAACAACAGGTGTTTAGTACCATTACGGACAGACTCCTGTTGCGAGTCCAAAAGCTGGAGGCCGCGTCTGATGTCTGGAAAGAGGTGTGTCAGATTCACGAGGGCAAGACAGAGTTGGTCCAGATAGACCTTAGACAACGGATGCAAGAGACTCGATGCGAAGAGAACGGGGACGTGCGTACGCACTTTAGCGAAATGCTGCGCCTGCGCGAATCTCTCGCGGGAATGGGAGCGTCCATAGACGAAAAAGACTTCTACGCCATTATCATAGGCTTCCTCCCAGAATCGTACCGTCCCATCCTATCATCGATTAATGCAGCAGCCAAGATCACCAAAAAGGTCCTAAGTACATACGAACTTGTCAATGTTATCACCGAGGAATATGAGCATCATTTGCTTACCGACAGACGCCTGTCCAAACAAGGCACAAACTCTGCCCTTTCCGCGTGCGCCAACGATGCAAAGTCCAAAGGCGTGGATGGCGCTGCACCCCACTACAACCCAGACGCGCTCTGCCAGAACTGTGACCGAAAGGGTCATTACAAGAGCGAATGTTGGAGGAAAGGTGGAGGGAAACAGGGCCAAGGACCCAAGCAGAAGGCTAGAAGGGGCGGACGCACCCAAAAGCAGAGTGCTAACGTGGCTGCAGCCAAAGACTCCGAGGCCCAAGACAATTACGCCTTTGCAATGTCAGACCTTGCGAGCATAGCAGAAGCTATGCACTTACCTGCTGCGTGCCGTGGAGCTATAGTTGACTCCGGCGCGACATCCCACTTCTGTCCGGACAGGTCCAAATTCGAGACTTTCGTCGAAATACCTCCCCAAAAGGTCTATACTGCAAACGGTTCCAACGTTAGCGCCACAGGTCGCGGAGATGTGAGAATCAACTTACCTTTGGGCTCCAAGAGGACCACTGTGACCTTGAAGGACACCCTATATGCCCCCGGTATGGCGTTCACCCTCATATCCACAAATTGTATCGCATCCGCTGGTCTAGCAGTCCTTTTTGAAGGACGTATGTGCAAGATTCTCTCGCGAGGTCCCCGAAGGGACATCATCGCGGAGATCCCACAGGTGGAAGGGCTGTACTCTGTTGGGACGAAAGGGAGTCAAGGTCACCACGCTAATGTGGCCAAAGAAAAGCTTACCCTAGGCCAGCTACATTGTAGGCTGGGACATGTCGGCCAGAACGCACTTGCCGAAGCCATGAAGAAAGGCTTGGTGATGGGAGTCGAATTTGACCCGGCGACGAAAGCCGAATTCTGTGACATCTGCGTGAGAGCTAAGTCGGCGCAACAGTCTTTCCCAAAAGAGACGAAGTCACGTGCACTTACCTATGGGGAGATAGTCCATACCGACCTCTGGGGGCCGGCGCAGATGACAAGCTTGGGAGGCTGCAAATATTATATCAGCTTCACGGACGACTTCAGCCGCCAGACATGACTCAAATTCCTAAGGCAAAAGAGTGACGCACTTACCGCATTCAAATCCTACGAGGCGTGGGTGACCCACCAGTCACTAGGTGTACGTGTCTGCAAAGTCCATTCAGACAGAGGAGGGGAGTATCTAAGCGCCGAGTTCAACCAATACTTGCGTCAGCAAGGCATCGAACGGCAGCTAACAGTACACGACTCACCCCAACAGAATGGTGTCGCCGAACGACTCAACCGCACCCTGGTCGAGCACGCAAGAACGATGCTCCTGGGCAAGGATATGCCGAAATACCTGTGGGCAGAGGCAGTTAATTATGCCACATGGCTCAAGAACCACCTACCTTCAAGAGCCATCCCAGGTAGCACACCCTATGAGATGGTGCGCAAGTCCAAGCCGGACTTGTCGTGTGCCCATGAATTTGGGACGATGGTCTTCATCCATGCGTTAGAGGCTGGTAAGCTGGAGGCGAGGGCAGAAGAAGCAGTCTTCGTGGGGGTAGACGCTGAGAGTAAGGGATACCGGGTATACTGGCCCGGGAGGTGTCGAGTCATGGTCGAAAGGAATGTCACCTTCAGGCCAATCCTAGCAGCCGATGGTGTGCCGGACAAGGGGGAGTCTACTGCTGTTAACGAACATAGCAGTGGCAACGGTAATAATAACTCACCTAGTAGTGTCCAGCCCATCACCATGCCACAGCAACCTCAACCTTCTACTCCTCAGCAACCTCAACCTTCTACTCCACAGCAACCTCAACCTTCTACTCCTCAACACCCTCAACCATCTACTCCTCCAATGAGGTCAACGAGGGCAAGACCACCCCCCGGATACTATGCGGCGCTAAACAAGGGCCAGACGGCTGCCCTAACGATGGAGAATCTGTTGGAGGTGTCAGAGGTAGACCTAATGGATGAAGAAAACTATCTTCACCTTGCCTTGGCCACAGCAGAGCCAGAACCCACCCTACAGCAGGCCTTAAACGGTCCAGATGCCGTTGAATGGCAGGAGGCGGTGGACTATGAGATAAGTCAGTTGGAGAAGCTAGGTACATGGGAGGTAGTGGACCCACCTCGAGGCGCCAACATCATACCATGCCATTACGTCCTGGCCACTAAACGCGGACCAGACGGCGAGAAGCTGAAGTTGCGTGCCCGACTTGTGGCGAACAGGCAGAGGCAGAAGCTCGGTGTTGACTACTTTGACACCTTCGCCCCCACAGCCAGTATGATAACAATCCGGATGGTCCTAGCGATGGCGGCTCAGCGAAACTGGGAGATACACCAGGTAGATATCAAAAGTGCTTACCTGTACGCTAGCATCCAGGAGGAAATATACATGCGTGCCCCGCCCGGCTACTTGAAAGAGGACCAGCATGGAAAGGTGTTGAGGCTGAGGAGGAGTTTGCCTGGCCTGAAGCAGGCAGGATTCGAGTGGGCCGAAGAACTATCGGGCGTATTCCTAACGCTGGGATTCAGCAGGTCCAAGGTTGATCAAGCTGTATATTACAAACGTACCTCCAACCAGCATACCGTCATCATGGTGTCTGTGGACGACATGGCTGTGATGTCGAATGATGCGGCCCATATCCACCAGTTCAAGGCTGAATTCCAGCAATATTTTGAGATATCGGACCTGGGAGAACTAAAGTGGCTGTTAGGGCTGAAGGTAACGAGGGATAGACTGGGATGTACCATTACCCTGTCTCAAAAGGCATACGTCGCGACCATCGTCGAACACTTTCGTTTGGGCGACGCCAAGAATGTGCAGACTCCAATGGAGTCCACAACGACCCTGTCAGTAGAGCAAGGACCCGCGACCCACGCCGAAATCCAAGATATGCAGGACATACCATATCAGAGGGCAATTGGCTCGCTGATGTACACGGCCACCAGCATGCGCCCGGATATTGCGTTCGCGGTCGCAACATTGTCGTAGTTCATGCGGAACCCCGGCAGACCCCATTGGGAGGCTGCAAAACAGGCCCTCCGTTATCTGAAAGCCACTGACAACATGGAGCTTACCCTAGGAGCAACTGACACGGGCCTAGAAGCCTTCGTCGATGCCGATTGGGCGTCCCAGCCACACAGACATTCGATGTCAGGGTACGTCGTCATGTTCAATGGCGCGCCCATAGCCTGGAGTGCGAG